GTGTCTTGATAATATAGAAAAGCGACATAAGTACAGTCCATTTACCATTTAAACGCTGCATGTTCTGAAATGTAAAGCATTTTTCTGAAACGACAGTTTTTTAATGTTTCTTATATATTTTTTCAGCGATCAAGAACAAACCTGAAGAGAATTTTGTCTGCTTTTTTTTTTTTTTATTCTTGTGCAAATTCATCTCAACACTAACCAATTGGTCCAAAACTCATTTCAGTTTATTATATATCAACTCAGATTAAATTACAGATAAACTTAAGTGACTGAAACAATCACCAACCTTTGTATAGGGCAGATTGACTTCATAAAAATGTCAGTCGGTGCAACAGATAGTGGACAGCTCTGGCTCTGGAGGAACATTCAGCAGAACGGAGTTGGATTTTAAAGTTATCACATTACTTACCTTACTGTGTTAGAATATAATAGAGATTCAGAGTGTGACTAAAATTTGGATTATGTATACAGCGATTTTCATCAGAATAATTTCACGCAGTAATTTCTTTGGATTTTGTTCATGGTAGTGTAATATACTTACCCTTTGGAACCAGAATTGCCAGGAGAACGTTTGTTGTAATATCTTTTAACTTAATTGAATATTTTATGTGATTTAATTTGTGGACAGTAATGAAATCTTTTGAGTTGTTTCCAAATTCTGCAGCAGAAGCAAAAGCCTGCTGGGATATGTACCGGTAGTGCTCTATTAAATAGTTGTTGATTAAATCGAGACATCATAAATCTGTATGGATTAAAATCTCAGCTCTGTTACTCATTAGAGATGCGATGCTTCAGTTCTTTTAGTTTCATTTCATCTTGATTCTTGTACTAAAGCAGAGTCAAGTGTCTCCCTTTCATATGCATGTGTTCTCACCTGTTCATATGTCTGTTGTGGGACACGAGGGCCAGTGTGCTGTAACTGAAAAACGTTGTGCGATATGAACCTGGTGCTCCAACTCGTCACCCACTCTGATATTAGCATCCACAAAGTGCGCTGTGGGAGCTGGTGCATAGGAGGAAGAACTACCGCAGCAACTAGGGGCCCATCTGGGCATTATGCGCATGAAGGCTCCGCCCCATCGTAAGTTCCCACTCCGTCTGTCAAAGCAGCTCGGAGACGCGGCATGGCAGAAATCTGTTCCCCTCTTTCACCGTGGGGGACCCGGTTTAGATGGGGATGGTTTGTTCTTTTTTTTTTTCCAGGGTGTGTTTGCCGATGTGGCCCTGTAAGCACGAGCGATTCAAGGATTGCATTGACCGTCTACACGTATGCTCTGCGCAGTTCCAATCATGTGTGTCTGATGACACATTTTATAGCTCCTCTGTACAGCTAAGATTGCCCACATTAAAAGTTGCTTTTAGCTCTCCGGCCTCTTTTGAAGAAGCTCCCGGTTCCTTGTTCTGTTGTCCTGTGGTCCCTCTCTCGCTCCAGTCCCTGTGATGTACTCTGTGACCTTGGCGAGAATGATCCAGTGGCAGATTGCTACATGGTAGGGGCACAGTAGCTATTATTTTGAGTCAGTGCAAGATAGACTGCCAATATTTCTTCTAAACAGGATGGGGGAGGTCAGCTGACCGAAATCAATTTCTGTTACATGTTTTGCTGTAACTCTTTAAAGCAGATTGATAGCAGAGGTATATTGCTGGTACTATTCCGCTGTTTTTCTTCTGCCGTCTCCAGATGCCCTTGCTCTTTGGATTTGTAAAAGTTTAAAAGGGAAGGAAAAAATATGTAATCTAGTGAGCAAGCACATTAGTCAACAATACACTAGATAAATAAACAAAAGGGTTTTGGTCATGGGAAGCACTGCGGTGCAATGAATACGACTTACTACAGTAAGGCAATTAATATAAAACCTAGTGATTTTGTTCACCTGTGCTTCTGTTGTGTTGTTCATTACACTGGCTGTTGACCTTACAGTAAAATTTTAAATATCCTTACTTTTTAATAACAAAATGAGAAAGACGACATAAGGAGTTAGAAGATCTGACTGTATTTACACCTGGATATTTCCATAAAACCACAGTTCTTAGCCAGTTTACTACATTTCAGTTTGTTCATCTCCTCTGTTCATGTGATAAATGCATAATTATTTGGCTTCACTATTTTAACAATGGTTAAATGCACACGTGGGCTGCACAGTGTGGCATTTTTTTTAATTGTATTTGCAATATCAGTGTGTTAAATATCAATAACACATAGGACTGCTTTGACTGCAATAAATCATATGCTATTATTCAAGTGTCATGCATTCATTTTCTGCATGCCAATAATTTATTTGGCCCTCATTTTCCTCTCACTGCCCTTGATGTCAATGTCCACGCCTGGTCATATAATAATGGCCGAGATGCTAAACAACTTGGAAAGTGTCGTGAGAATTGAGATGACAGAACAGAAACGAAGGACTGAGGAAATGTTGTTTTCACAATTGACATTGTCATTGCAATATTATTATTTTCAAAATGAGTAATTTATTGTGTTGTCCAAATGAATGTAGTACTTTTCTTATCAAACCATCTTGTCAAGTATTCAGATCAGGCCCTGATGGGATGTGCCACATTGTTGCTGGATGGAGATAATGGAGCTGATGCTAGAGTAGGTACTGTTCTGCATAGCAACCGTTTCTGTTGCTAAGGCGCTGCATGTATGGAATGTATAACGGGGTTAAAAGTTGTCCGTACTGTTTTCCCATCTTGGACAGAGTGTGCGACTCAGAAAGTTGTGTTGGCAGTTCAAGACTGCAATAGTAGGCTTCCTTACTTATCTCTTGTTACAAATGGACCATCTCCCCCGTTCTTTTGTTTTCCAGTCTTCTCCCTCATCCCTTCTCCTTTACCCACACTCTTCCTTGCCCCTACCCTTCCTTTCATTCAGCAGAAGGTAGTTGGCACCAGTATAAAGCGTCAGCCTCCTTAGACGACTCGTGTCTGACTCTCTGCCAGTTTGTGTGAAACTAGAAAGAGGGACAGCAAGAGGGAGGGGAGGGAGGGTATAGAGGATTTTTGTGATAAAATAAGCAGAGTGGTCTGGAAATCGACCCAGCGTCATCAGTTTTAACATCCATGGATGTTGCCTCTCTCTTGTGTTTGTGTGAGGAAGCAGCGGGAATTGGACCTCAGTTGTACGAGAGAAACATGGGACCACAAGCAAAACTGAGTTAAACTGGGCTTTATCGTTCACTATGCAACAGATTGTTGTGCCTTTGACTGGTATTAACTTTAATTGGAGCAGAACAGTTGGGCATGAGAGCCATTATTTTGATTCTGGTCCAGCCACTTACAGCTGGAATGCTAAAAGAAACAAAAGGTGACTCAAGTATTCTGCAAACTGCGCTTCCAGAAACCCTCGAAACAAAGGGCGAACAAAATAAATTACACCCATATCTCATCCATGTTGGGAAAATAATCTCATGAAGCCATCCCACATATTCAGCCTGTTTTTCTTCTTTTTAAGAAGTTTTCTTCTTGTTTTGTTGTCCTCTCTTTCTTGCTGGCATGGTGAGACAGTGCAGTGAGGGTATTCAGCCAGCTTTTACTCTGTAAGATGAGGTATTTCTGGTCGTCTGGGTGGTGGGTGCTCGCCTGGCAAGGGGGTGGGGGGTGTCGGACTAGGCACAGAGAAAAAGGCTAGCCAAGTACCGTGTAAACCTCTGCCAAAGCTTCCACAGGAAAAATGCCCATTGCAGAGGTTTGTGTGTGAATATTTGTAAGGTAGGTTGTGCAGCAAAGTGTGGGATGATGGAGTGTAAAGATGAAGAGCATCTTAGACGGGAGGGCGGGGAGTTCTGATTGAGAGTTGGCTTCTTGAGACTTTGTTTTGTCGACAGGTTCTTGGCCAGCTTCAATTTAACTTCTTTATTGTTTGTTTACTTGTTTGTGTTTGTTTTCTCACTCAGATAAAGTGCTTAGTCTTTCTTGTATAGCGCCTGAAGGCGTGGGGGGTCTGAAAGCCCAAACTACTCTTGACTGACTCTGTGGTACCATCATCTGTTGCTTCTCACTGGCTATTTACTCCTTTTACCGTTTTGGCAGGCTGATGTCTTTTCCTCCTACTCTTCCTCTTATATCTCACACTTGTCTTCTCTCACTCTCATTTTCTTTCTCAGAGTCATTTGGCAACTTTTGGGTCTTTGTTTTTCTGTCCAGAAACCAGATTAAAGGGGAGGGTGTGCCAAAAGATAAAGACAATACAAGTTCACAGAAGAAAAATGACGATTTCCTCTGTCCTGCTTTCATTGTAAGTCCCTCAACAGGACTGAGAGAATGTAGCCAGTTACTCGCATGGAGGTGCTTTGATTGCAGATGACTGTGCCCACGAACATGACCTGGCATTGCCAAACAACCTGCTGCTCAAAGACAGAACCGTGGCACAACAGGAGGGCAGGAAGCGACAGCCTCGGGGCAGCCAGGCCTCTGTGACATTTTAGTCCTTTATGCTTCTGCAATCTGTTACTGCACATAAAAAGCTAACTATTTTCTTAAATATCAAAAATGCCCTGGCGTTATCAACTGAAGTGTTGCAGAGCTTTTTCCACTTTTTTCTTCAAAAGACTATCTTTGGGTTTTCATTCTGGTAAATGTTTATTCTTGGTGCTTTTTTATGGTCTGGCTTTAAGATAAACTCTAAGTTTGAAGTGAACTGCATTAAACAGTTTTTAAGCTTATTGTTACAGTTAAGGATCAGTTCAGGTTTATATAGGAAACTATTTTGTCTGTGTCAGTTTAGAGATTGTTTACATGTCAGTGTCACACACAACACATCCTTGCAGTCACCAATGACCTACCGTATTTTTCACTGTATAAGTCACACTTTTTTTTGCATAATTTACACGCCCTGCGACTTATAGGCTGAAGCGACATATTTATGTTTTTTTTCCCCCCATATTTATAAACCAATTTTTGGCTGTGATATGACCATTTTCATTCATTCTGACTGAAATGTTTTTGAGCAGTGCCACTTTCAGCCACTTGATGGCAGCAGAGTAGTAGTAGCTGTAAGGCATGCCGTTGTATCATGTAATAGGTAAACGTGGTTATAATGACAAATTCAAAAAAGTTCAAGACAATAAAAACTGGACTTTATTTATTATACTTTATACTTTATTGTTTTTGTTTTTTTTTTCACTTTTTTGAATTTACCATGTCCTGGATGACTGAGAATTTTCAACATATATTAATGACACAATCGGCTTGCCATAGTCTCCCCACCTTGTTCTGCTCGCTGCTTGGAACTGTCAAACCAGCTGCACCGCCCTGGCGAAATTCAGCTAATTTGACCATTAAAGTGCATTTATTAAGCAAACATTAGATTGAGACAAACATTTACTATACTTTCGAGCAAACAAATAGTTAATAAGTGTTAATCTTGTGGGCAGCAAGGTGGCGCAACTGGTAGAGCTGCTGCCTCTCAGAGAGCAGGTCCTTGGTTCAAACCCCGGTCCAGGGGCCTTTCTGGGTGGAGTTTGCATGTTCTCTCCGTGCATGCGTGGGTTTTCTCCGGGTACTCCGGTTTCCTCCCACAGACCAAAAACATGCATGTTAGGCTGATTGGTAACTCTAAATTGTCCCTAGGTGTGAGTGAGAGAGTGAATGTTTGTTTGTCTCGTTTGTCTCTATGTGTCCCTGTGATGGACTTGCGACCCGTCCAGGGTGTACCCCGCCCCTCGCACAGTGATTGCTGGACATGGGCACCGGCGACCTCCGTGACCCAAAATGGAATAAGCGGGTAAAGATAATGGATGGATGGATGGATGGATGTTAATCTTGTTAAATTCTTGTTAAAGTCCTCCTGTGCACGCTCCTGCAGTCGCCATTTGGCAGTCAATCAATTTTTGGCACAACACTGTCCCGCATTTCCGAGTTCGGCCAACATTTCCGGGTTGTCAGAAGTGAAGCGTAACAAACACGACGCGTCAGCAGTGACGCATAATAGATGGGACGTATATGGCGAAACAACATATTTTTGGATTTTTCCACTTTATTAAACAAATATGGACTGATGCGACTTATAGGTGGAGCGACGTGTACAGCAGAAAATACGGTAACTGAACTCGGGTTAAGCGTCCATCATTGATTTGTGCTGAAGCCCTTGTTGGCTGTTTATATGTAGACAAATATTAGTGGTTGAAGTACAAACCAGCCTTGCTTAGTGGAGATTTGTACACTAAATCACCTCAGTCTTCTTAAACCCTAATCCTAATGACATATCTGAGTGACACACACACACACACACACACACACACACACTTCCTCTTTAGTGCTCTAATTCCACTCAGCCCAGTTAGCACCAGAGTGCCACCTCTCCATTTAGGTTTACTTATTGGATATTTTTATCATGATGAAGACTAGGACCGTATGGCATGAACTGTTAAGGCTTTTCTCTACATATCACATTATCCAGTCTCATGCTACGGGACTGTCATTGTGAGTTGTGCACACCTTGCTGTGACGAGCTGAACTCCATGAAGACTTGATTGGAATAAGAAAGACAAAAAATAACTACTTCAGTTTAATGCATTTAATTGTGGGTATTGACGAGAGGGAGGAAGTCAGAGTGGCAGCTGAAGCTGTGTAATCCACTAAATGTCTTCCTGCACAGAGGCCTCTGGCTCTGATCCACTGGCCTGGGTCAGCCTCTAACAAAATAAAGGCCTGTGAGCCTGACTTCAAGCCACTCGTGGGACTCTTTCCTCACTTGCTGTAATTTGTATCATTGTATTGCAGAGTTATGATCTTTTAGCACATTTTCTCACTGTTTCTGTTCACAGATAATCATGCAGTCAATGGGAATCCCACTGCAGAGCCCTTTCCAGAAGGCATGGAAACCATCATGTTCGGTGAGATGGCACAATCACACTTATGCTTAAATCACAAAGAATCTAATGAGAATCAGCTGCTACCAGTTTGTGCCTTTGTAACACACATTGAAATGTAAGATGACAACTTCTTCTTTTGACTTTTCCTTCTTTGGGGGTCGCCACAGCAAGTCATCCTCCTCCATCTCACTCTGCATCCTCCATCTCACTCATCCTCTGTCCTCACTCCAACTACCTCCATATCCTCTCTAACTGCATCCATATATCTCCTCTTTGTCTTTTTCCTGGCAGCTGCATTTCTAACATCCTTCTACCAATATACCCACTGTTCCTCCTCTGGACATGTCCAAACCATCTCAGTCTGGCCTCTCACTTTATCTCCCAGTTGTTCAACCTGTGCTGTACCTCTGATGATCTCATTCCTAATCTTATCCATCCTTGTCCCTCCTAAGGAGAACCTGAACATCATCATTTTTGCAACTTCCAGTTCTTTCTCGTCATTTTGTCAAATGTAGGAGGTTTTGTCAAAATGTAGGGTGACAACAAATGATGTAAAGTTATGCTTCTGTCTCTTGTGCCAGGACTGGGCTGTTTTTGGGGAGCTGAGAGACTTTTCTGGCGACTTCCAGGGGTCTTCTCTACACAGGTGGGCTTCGCTGGAGGCTTTACACCTAACCCTACCTACAGAGAGGTCTGCTCAGGTATTGCACTGCGCTTCTTTCTTGCACTTTTGTACCTCACATTGTTTGATTCGTATTAAAAGATCAAACTACCTTTCTGTGAGAACGCTGTATGTTGGTATAATGTTTGAAGGTACAAAAAGTCACAGGCAAATAATGGGTTAAAGAAAGAGATGCAGAGAAGGATTGTTTTAAATACAGCTCTCTCATTTTGGTTTTTCCCTTTATCTGCAGTCAACTACTCAGAATGCACTGCTCCAGATGGGCTGCACCCCCATCTATCCCCACCCCCACATGACCTACTTGTAAGGATTTTGCTCTCTTCTGTGCAGTACTGTGGTGTTTTTAACCAACAGAGGTTACCGAGTGTAAGGCACTATAAATGGGCTTCTTTCCCAGAAAATGTGATTTGGCGAACATGATGCTACAAACTCGGATTCCGTTTGTCTGCAAAGATGTTGGAAATGTTTGGCTACTTGTCTCCTTCCAATTTTTTCTTATCACAAAAAATCAAATGGATTTATGTAGCGAGTTGATTTATAATTTAAATGAAGATGTCTGGCTGTGCATTCATCTCTTGTGTTGTAGGAATCATGAGCTGTTAGTTTGGGTCTTCCATTTCTCTGGGGGAGGCATCATTGCAGGCAAGCATGGAGCCTAGGTGCAGACGCAGTACAGTGGGAACGATGCTTTGGGCTGGGCTGGCATATTTTCTGAGCAGAGCCCATCATATAGTTTCTGTCAGCAAGTTTCCTGTCCCCGTTTCTGTCAGACCCCCAAGAAACAAGATGGTCAGTGGTGGAAGAAGACAGAGATGGAGGAAGATGAGAGAAAGGAAGAGTATGAATTCTGCATCAAGTGAAGGATTGAATCAAACTTTTTAAAAGAGGAGAAAAAGGGTGATGGAGAATGGTGGTCTTGTGTATCGGCTGAGAGAGTGCAGGCGTCGCTCCAGTGGCCATGACGGAGCAGAGCACTGCGACGGCATGAGACCAAGAAGCTGTCAACTCAGCCAGAGCAGAATGGAGTGAAAGAGGAGGTTGATGGAACTGTCAAATAAGACGTGGAAGGATAGAAGGACAGGCAGATAGGTGGATGGTCTGACAGACAGAAACAGGAGAGCTGGAGATGCTATAAAATATTTGTCTTTAGAGGACACATGCATACTCGCATCCAAGATGCCAAGAAGTTTAGGCCATTTTTCAATCAGCATAATTTATCTAATCTATTTTACAGCACAAGCACAGTCTAAAGTCTGAGAAATTTTCACTACAGATTTGAAAGCTGAGGCTGGAACTTGTGTTTTACGTTCGCCGGCCTTCACAAAATTAAATCTATTTTCATTGATTTGATTGAACAGTGTTAAAGAGGGTCGGTTATACATGGTGCATTTTCACAGATGTTTACATTGCTTCGTTAATTAATATTATTAATTTACTTTATATATGTTTCTGTTCAGTGCCCTGAGATGACTTCTGTTGTGACGTTTTGCTATATAAATAAATTGAGTTGAATTTATTACTGCAGAAAGTACACAAAGCAATGAGCTGATGTTTCAGCATGTTTAAATATAATTATTATATTATTATATATTAAATTATTATAACGTATTATAATATTATGATGAGCTTTTTAATGCTTTAAAATGTTGCAAGTTCCTTTGCTGCTCTCATTAAAATAAGGTTCTGAAGCCAATATAAAGATATGGTGTCAATTTGGAGTTTATGTATGAACATCAAAATATCATGAAACAAAAGTAAAACTCCAAAAATTGACATTTTTACTTATTTGATTGTTGTTTGCTAAGAAAGTTTTATACAGTAGTCCCTTGCTACTTCGCAGTTCGTTTATCATAGACTCGCTCTACCGCGGTTTTTCAAGATAAGACTGGACATGACACACAATTGGCAGATTGCTGGATGAGCCGCACAATGGGCATGGAATTTTTATGTAAAATAAATTACTTTAAATTATTTAGTACATGCTGCACCTTTGTGCAGCCCATATTGCAGGATAAGCTTCCTGCTGCAGCTGATCTGCTGTTCTCCGTGCAGAGCGGTGAAGTGGGCGTGGCCAAGAGCCCTTGCAGGTGGCTGAGCGCAGCTGAAATCATGACATTCTGTGCTTTTCTAGAGTGTTTAGAGTTTAGAAACATATTGCAAGAGTGTGGGAAGGGAAAACAATTTATATACATTATAAATATATATATATATATATATATATATATATATATATACTACTTACCACTTGTACTACTATTCTTACTTGCAGTTTTTTACTTATCGCGGAGCTTAGGGTACGGATCCCCTGCAATAAATGAGGGACTACTGTAAAGGTAATTTTAAGTATTTTAATTGTTGCCCGTTGCTGCATCCCTTATTTTGTTGACAGATGTAGTGATGGGTTAAACCAACAAAAGGCCAGCAGGCTGGTCTGTTGAATTGTTGGGCTGTAAGCAGCACCCAGAACACTATTGAATGGTCCTTCAATGAAACACTGAAGCACTGGCAGCTTTAGTGGTGCTGATCTTCTCAGCCTTTCACCCCCTTCATGTGGGACAAGCTTGAAGAGTCATGGCACACAGTCACCCCCCCCCCCCCCCCCAACAGGTTTTGACAGAAGCTTTTTGCTCCAATTGAATTTTCTGCTTTCTGCTGTTTTTGTTGACTTCACTGCATCCTGACTGCCAGTCTGCAGCTCACTGTCTGTATCACAGGAAAATGTGCTCAGTCCCACAAGGTTTGGCTTTGTTAAAATAAAATGTATGGTTACAAATGGCTGTTTTAAAATAAAATTAAAAAATAAAAAAACAATTAGGTGATCAGTACTATTTTTGACTTGGTGTAGCAGCTATATTCAGTACATATCAGTACTTATAAAATCACAATTTTTAAGTTTCAAAATATGCATGTAAACCAATAGGATTATTTTAGCTAATGATGCAATAAATATTACAGAAATTGGTTCTCAGACAGTCATAATTTTGATAATCTCTAATCTAGTATTTGCACTTGATGTGTCAGTCTGTATGGCTTTACTGTGGTTTAAAAAAAACATACTTTGTACCTGTGCACATCCTTTGCATTGCCCTAACTGATGCAATCTCGAGTTACCCCCTCATCACAATGATATATATTTATGTTTTCTGCTTTAAATGTGTGCGCCTGTGCTGATGTACATACAATACATGTGAGCCTTAAAGCAGCCTTCAGTTTGAGGATGCCTGCAGGCAGCTTGCTGAAGCTTCTGTGTTCTGGCAGCTGCAGACAAGAATGAGTGTCTGTGAGCTTTTGGCAACCTCCGCCATAAGCTCCATCTTTGACTGTGCCTCCTTTCTCTCCATGTGCACCTTTCGTTGCTGCTTTTCCTCCCATGGTGCCATGAGCAAGAACATGGCTCATTGGGGATTGAACCTGAATGTTCTTTACCTGTGGCAAATGCACTCAGTGCCATGTTGTATGCGTTCTTTCTATTCTCTCAGCAATATTCAACAAACAGTTGATAATTAAGATTATTGCAAAATAGGAGGGTATAGTGGGATGAGGTAGATATGAGATCAATACAACTTAGTTTTGATAATTGTCACTTTGTGATTCCCTCTCAGGTCTGACAGGCCACACTGAGGTGGTGAGAGTGGTCTTTTCTCCTGAGGACATTGGCATTGAGGAGCTGCTCAAACATTTTTGGGAGAGCCACGATCCTACACAAGGTAGTAGCGCACTTCTACACAAGCCACAGTCATCTTTAAATTAGACCCATCCCAAAGGGCCAAAAAGTGTATTAGAGCAGAAGGATGATGCCCAAGCATGTGCCTGTGCTTGTTGTGGTTGGGGGGAAGGTCTCATGGGTGGAAGTCAATGCCAGACAGTGTTAATGTGTCTGAGATCCAGCCATCCATGGAGGTGTGCACCAGTGTGGTGCACATTCAAGCTGCAATTGTGGAAAAAGAATGGCTGTTCATGGCATGCAACATAAACCAGGCTTTTCTCCTGGGAGTGATGCAGTGATGGTAGTAATATATATATTTTTTGTTTAAATGCTGCTTAAGTATTTTTAAAATTTGAATCACAAGAAAAAAGTGAACTTTCAAAAATTTGGCTGCAACAGTGTAATGTTTGGCCTAATTAATTTACACGTCTTGCTTGTGAGGCACATTCCTGCTCCGTTCTATAAAGCACGTCACAAATTTGCCACCTACTCGTACATCCACAGAGCATCGACGAGAACCTTCCCATAAAAATAAATCACCTCTCCATCTCTTCAAGTCCGCTGCTCTCTTGTTTTCTGCGTTCACTGGAGGAGGTGATGTAAGAACATTAATGCATCAGGAGGACACATGGATGGTGCGTGTGTGTGTGCGTGCATGTATGTGTGGGTCGGCAAGACTGGACAAAGTGGTACTCTGCTCACTCACTGAATAAAGGGAAGGGCGTGACAATTTGGGAAGAGATCGATCAAAGATTCATTGGGCTGACCTTGAGTCATAAAAGAATCATAGAAAACCCATTGATGCTCGCCATAACTGTCCTGTCAGGGTTTTTTTTTCCATATCTGTCGAATACAGTGCAATTTACCATAATAATCAGCCATGTTTTACCAGCACTACTCATATAAATGTGTACATGAGCTGACCAGCTTAAAGATTTATAAAAAGAATCAGGAGAAAAAGTAATAACTAAGGACGTCTTTGTCTCCTTTTCTAGTAGCCGAAGGCAGAGACGCGTCTTACTCCGAGCAAAGTCGCAGTTAGAGTGGAGCCGACACACCACAGGGTAGAGGCAGCGAGGCCGAAAGAACAGTCATACATTTCTCCGGATGTTTCATCTTATTTTTTATTAATAGCATGCAGCTTGATGTCTACGCATTCTGCCTTATCTATTTATTTACTTTGATCATAGTTAAAACCAGTTTAAAATCACTGCTAACTTTTTCTTCTCTTATAGAAGTGATGCGTTTCGTGCGTGACTTAAATGTGAATTTGTGCCGTTCCTCTCAGAATCGGGGTTCACGTGTAGCAGAAACTCTTCTGATTTGACAAATGTAGCATGGAGCGGTGGAAAGCGGCCCGCTGGCTGTGCCTTCATGCATGCTTAAGCTCCAATTTATTCTGTCCACCTTAGAGCCGGGCTTAAAAGAGAATGGAGAAATGAAGGAAGTTTGCACTTTCTGCTTTGACCTGTGCAGATTCAACCAGAGATGGTATACGGAGATAAGCCCGGGAGCATTATGAATTCTGTCTTTTCCTGACTTGTATCAACACTCAGCCCAGGTTTATTTAATACTCAGTGTTGGGCATGTGAGTGGAACTGTTCACACGTATTCAGTTGGATGTAATGCCTCCTTGTGATGAGTGTATGTGTGTGCATCTATAGATGTGCATGCATATATACGTGTGGGAGTGCGTGTATGTATTTTGATATCTTTGCCTTACTGCTTTGCCTTAGTTCAAAAGGGTTTAGTCCCGACAACGTGATGTCGGGCTGCGTCAGCTCAGCCAATCCCGGCCTGGATAGCAACATTAAGAGCCAATCAGAAACTCTCAGCAGCCTTTGCTGTGTGCCCTCTTTCCATATTCAGCAACGCTAGTCTCAATCCGCTGGCTTCCCTGGGATGTTGCATAACCCCCCCAACCCCCATTCAATACGCTCCCATACCATAAGTTTCTCATGTCTGTGATTTGACAAGCTCTCAGCAGCATACCTGCACATGAGTGCAACATGTTCAAGCACAGTCAACAAAATGACACGTGCATGTCACAGGGTCACAGCAGTTCTGCTACATCATGAATGAGAACATTAAAAATGCTCACAGTTGAAACTCAAGCAGATATTGCTGAACTTTAACACATTGTTTGTCACTCTATCATGAGCAAGTATGCATAATACATACTAATAGCTTTACGTATATATCTAGGAACTGGCATAACATGTACTGCATGTACATAATGTATACAGTTGGAGACAGAAGTTTGCATCCACTCATCATAAACATGTTGCATTAATTTGAGACATTTGCTTTTATAGTTTAGAGTGACAACAAGTTGACCTTTGAGCCCAACACTGACTATATTTACAAAAAAGCCAGACAGCACCTCCACCTTCTGTATAAGCTAAGGAGCTTTAATGCAAGAAAAATTACTTTGCAGTTGGTGTACAGGTCACTGGTTGAAAGTGTTGTTTCATTTACTATTGTCTCATGGTATGGGAACCTCCTAGCCAGAGACAGGAACAAGTTGTCCCGGGTGGTCAAACAAGGTAGTAAAGTCATTGGTCATCAACAAATGACACTTACAGACCTGTACAGTCAGGTTCTGGGAAAAAAAAGGCAATCCAGGTTTACAATGACCCAACTCATCCACTGCAACCATTATTCAGGTTGGTACCATCTGGTGGAAGACTGCTGGTTCCTTTAACAAAGAAAAATGGGTACAAAAAGTCATTTGTTCCCTTTGCGGTGAATGTACTTAACAAGGTCCTATTTAAACGCAGCCTCACATAACAAACCACTGTCTGCTGGGATGTTTCCATATTTTAATATTTTAATGTATTGTGTATTTTAGAATGGTTTTGACTGAATGTTTTTAATTGATTTAGCAAAGTTTGGTTTTAAAGTTTTTAAAGTTTTTTTTTATCACATTTTTATCTTGTGTTGTTAGATGTCAAAGACAAATCTTTATTTCATTGAATGTTATGGACAATAAAGTTGAATTGATTGCTTGATAGTTGTGCTGTTCATTTTCTAGAGGGGAATGATGATACATCTATCAATTTTTTCAAACAAGATTTGACTGGACAAGTTTATTTATTAGAAGTCCATTTTATATTCAGAATCAGATTTATACACACAGACTTGAGTACATACAAAGATTCCCCCAAATACCATTTTCTCCTAAATGTAGATCTGAAAGTTCTGAAATGTGATAATGCCAAGGCATGTTCACTTCTTGTAATGAACATGATTGACTACAACCGGTAGTTTCTTATTGAAAACATAAAAAGGATTTATTTGACATCACTTATTGAATAGACCAAAACTCAGAACAATGGGGAAGTTAGCTGAAAGGGAGAGGGGGAAAATAATTTGAAATCATTGAAAAACAAATAGAATAGCAGATTTGCTCAAATTGGGAAAGTCTTTTAAAGCATTGCTTAAAAAGAATGACATCTTTTAAGATCAACTTTGTAGATACCTTCTACTCAAAGACTGAAAGCGTACCTGAACTGTCACACTTGGATGAAAGGAAATTAGTTCGGATGTTCAGGAACCACCAAGCCTCAAACCTACCATGGACTGGAAACAGAAGACCAGTGTCACTCTCCAAAGCAAAGCCAGTTTTACATCACCATGGCCTGAGATGGTACCAACCAATGAGGAGTTCCCTTCTCTAAAAGTTGCACCTTCAAGCTTGTAAAGGTTAAATGCCTTCTGTAGAAGGTTTTAAGGTCAAACAAGACAAAGATTGCGCTATTTGGCTAAAGAAGTCTGTTTGGAGGAGTCAAGTTATTGCTAAACCTGTGAACACTACAAATTGTTAGTCATGGTGGTGTTAGAATGAGGTAGTGGTGCATTGTGCAACATAAATAACAATAAAGTACAGGATCTGATTCACATTCTTTTCAGCTTCACCTTGATTTATCACTTTCAGTAGTATTTCATGTGAGTCCTTCAGGGCCACTATCCTGCATGCTTTAGATGTTTACCTGCTCTTCAGCAGGTCTTCATGCTATACAGAAGCCTGTTAATCCCCCATTCATTCAAATAAAGTGTGCTGAAGCAGAGAAACATCTAAAACATGTAGGGTTGGCCATGGAGGTCCAAAATTGAGGATTACTGATTTACACTGTTGAATTCTGCTGGACACAGTTGGGTGTTTCATCAGGACAATGGTCCCAAATACACATGAAAACTGGTTTATTGGATAATTTTTTTTTAATATTGTTCTTCTGGAGTGGCTTTCCCAAAGTCTCTACCTCAAACATGTTAAGTTGTGGACTTTGAGCCAAGAAATTAACCAATTTATAATCAGCTTTACCAATGCTGCCAAAGAGAGTGAGCAAGTATCCAGCCAGAATTATGCCAGTAGCTTGTAGATGGATTAATAAAGCCTATGGTTTATGTGCAACTTACTTATGAGTATTTAATAAAATACTGTATGGTAGGGGTGTATGTATTTAATTGACCCTGTGGACTAGGGGTGTAACGGTGCACGTGGGTGTATTGAACCGTTTCGGTCCACGTGCGTACTGTTTCGGTTATTTTTTCACTCATTAAATTTTATTAACAAGAGATTATGAATTAAAGTTCCTAAGTGTGTTTCAGCACGGCACTATTATCTTGCAGCACGCGTAGCATTAGCAGCCTAGCATCTCGTTGCGGTCTCCTGTTTGGGAACATTATGTCTTTCTTGTTAAAAGACAAGTGAACAAATCAAAAGCTGTGTGTCGACGTTGTTTCACGGAGAGTGGATCTGCAGCAGCAACACGTCGAACTTGTTAACGCTCTTGAAACATCATCATCCGAAAGTGAACCTCTCTTCTAGCAGCTTGGTGCAAAGAGCGATAGCAGCAGCATTTAAACAACCTTTATCAGGTTAGGTCCAGAGCAATAACACAAGCTGTAGGAGTTTTTAAAGCTCTGGATCTACGTTTCAGTTGTTGATGCGCTGACTTTAAAGTTCTTGAGCCCCGCTGTGACATCCATCACATCAAC